ATTGCAGTCACTGGCTGTCAGTGTAATAAGATGCTATGGAGTCATTACTTGTCTTCTCCATGCAATACACCTATTTCTCAAGTACACATGGAACATTTTCCAGGATAGATAATAAATTAGGCTATAAAACAAGCCTCAGTGAATTTAAAGGATTGAAGTCATACAAAGCATGTTCTCTGATCACTGTAGAATGAAACAGGATTTCAGTAACTGAAAGAATTTTGGGAAATAGACAAACATGAAAATTGTATGACTCCTAAATAACCAGCAGGTCAAAGAAGAAATGCCAAGAAAAATTAGAAAATACAGCTGACCTTTGAACAACATGGGAGTTAGGGGCTCTGACCCCCTCACAGTCGAACATCTGTATACAACTTTTGACTCTTCAAAAGCTTAACTACTAATACCCTACTGTACATAAAATCAATTGACTTCAGATGCAACAAGGAAGTACAAAAGAAATGGTAGAGTTGTAGGATCCAACAGAGAAAAGAGAATAAGCAGAAGGTGAATTAGTCCCTGTACTGGTGGTCCCTGCCACAGCTGACAACAGCCTGCAGGTAAATCAGGCCCAGGTTGAGAGGGGAGCACATCAAAGGGGCAAATGTTTCCAGCCTCCTTCCTCTGAATTGTCCAACTCAGATCTTGCTTCTCTCAGATTCTGGCATTTCTCTGTGGCCCAGAGAGCAGCCAATTAGCTCAGCTGTTCAGAGCATGGTGCTAATAATGTTAAGGTCACAGGTTTGACTCCTGTACAAGCCACTACATACAACATTTTTCCTTTTCCATTTCTGTCAGCCTTATTGCCCATGGAACCTGTCTGCTGCCTTACATCCAATTACAGATATAGTTGACTCTTGAACAGCATGGGTTTGAACTGCACAGGTCCACTTATACACAGATTTTTGTTGATATTTTGGAAAATTTTTTGGGAGATATGTGACAATTTGAAAGAATATTTTATTTTCTCTAGTTTATTATAAGAATACAGTGTATAATACATGTAACTTTAGAAATACATGTTAACCAGCTATTTGTGCTATTGGTAAGGCTTCTGGTCAACAATAAGGCTATTAGTATTTAAGTTTAAGGAGAGTCAACAAAAGTTATACATGAATTTTTGGTTGCGTGGGTGGTTGGCGCTCCTAACCCCCACATTGTTGAAGGGTCAATTATATATTTATTGAAAAAATCTATATAAAAGTGGACCTATACATTCAAACCTGTGTTGTTTAAGGTTCAACTGTACTTTGAGGTGAATGAAAAAAATGGCAAACCAAGCTTACAGGGTGCAGCTGAAGCAGGGGTTAGAGGGAAATTTATAGCTTTTAAAGACTATACCAAAAAAAGAGGAAGGTACTCAAATGAACCTAACTTAAGAAACTGGAAAAGGGAAAGTTAAAAAAAAATCCAAAGCAAGCAGAAGGAAGGAAATAATGACCATTAGAGCAGAAATAGGAAATAGAAAAGCAAAAGAAAATCAGCTCATCCAAAAGTTGCTTTCTATTTATTTATTTTTTTAGGGCCTCAGTTAGTATTTATTTTTTATTAAGTTTATCATTGATATACACTCTTATGAACGTCTCACATGAAAAACATTGTGGTTACTACATTCACCCATATTATCAACTCCCCCCCCATACCCCATTGAAGTCACTGCCCATCAGTATAGTAAGATAAAAAGTTGCTTCTTTTAAAAGGTCTTCTAGCTAGACTGACCAACAAGTAGAGAAAACTAAAAATCTTAAAATCAGGAATAAAAAAGGGAACATTACTATCACAATTACAGATGAAAGAAATTATAAGGGAATTCTGTGAAAATTTTATACCAAGAAATCAGATAACCTAAGTGAAACTGACAAATTGTAAAAAGACGTAAGTTATCAATACTCTCTCAAAAAGAGAAGGAAAATCTGAATAGACCAATAAGAAGTAAAGATACTGAATTAGTAATTTTAAAAAAGCTTCCCACAAAGAAGAGCCCAGAACTAGATGGCTTCCCTGGTGAGTTCTGCTGTACATTTTAAGACAAAATAAGTAACACTAAATACCTAAACTCTTTCAAAAGATGGAAGAGGAGAGAACATGTCCCAAGCAATTCTGTGAGGCCAAGGATGTCACAAGAAGCTATGTAGACCCATATCTTTTATGAATATAGATGCAAGAATTCTCAACAAAATACTAGCAAACCTAATCCAAAACACAAAAAGGATTGTACACATAACCAAATAGGATTTTGTTCCAAGAACGCATATAAAAAAATAAGGAGATATACCATATTAATACATTAAAGGCAGAGAAACATGACCACGATAGATGTTAAAAAAAAGCATTTGAACTCTTTCATGATAAAACCACTCAACAAACTAAGAATGGAAGGGCACTTACTCAACCTGATAAAGGGCATCAATTAAAAACCCACAACTAACATACTAAATGGACAAAGACTGAAGGCTTAATCCCTAAGATCCGGAACAAGACAACAACATCTTTGCCAATTCTATTCACCAAGTACTACAGGTTCTAGCCCAGGCAGTTCAGCAAGAAAGATAAATAAAAAGCATTCTGATTAGAAGGGAAGAAAGAAGACTAGCAATTTGTAGATGCTATGATCCTTGTAGATATCAAATTGTGAAAGACGTCAGACCCAAAGGCCACATACTGAATGACTACATTCATATAAAATGTCCAGAGTAAAGGCAAATCTGTAAGGACAGAAAGTAAACTAGTGTTTGCCAGCAACTGGTGAAGGGAAGAAGGGATGATTGCTTATGGGTACAGGGTTTCCTTTTAGATGTGAAATGTTTGGAATCCACTCCTAGGAATTTACCCTAAAAATGCAGCAGCCCAGTTTGAAAAAGACATATGCTCCCCTGTGTTTAACACAGCACTATTTACAATAGCCAAGAAATGGAAGCAACCTAAGTGTCCATCAGTAAATGAATGGATAAAGAAGATGTGGTACATATATACAATGGAATATTCAGCCATAAGAAGAAAACAAATCCTACCGTTTGCAACAACATGGATAGAGCTAGAGGGTATTATGCTCAGTGAAATAAGGCAGGTGAAGAAAGACAAGTACCAAATGATTTTACTCATCTGTAGAGTGTAAGAACAAAGCAAAAACTGAAGGAACGAAACAGCAGCAGACTCAACCCAAGAATGAACTAACAGTTGCCAAAGTGAAAGGGACTGGGGAAAGTGGGTAGGAAAGGAGGGAGAAGGGGAATAAGGGGCATTACGATTAGCACACGTAACGTCAGGGGGGGCATAGAGAAGGCAAGTTAGTGATTCTATAGCATCTTACTATGCTAATGGACAATGACTATAAGGGGTATGTGGTGGGGACTTGATAATGGGGGGAATCTAGTAACCAGTGTTGCTCATGTGATTGTATATTAGTAATACCAAAATTAAAAAATGTTTTGGAATAATAAGTGGTAATGTTTGCATTACTTTGTGGTTCTGCTGAAAACCACTAAACTTTTAGATTGTGAATCAAAAAGAATTCACAATTGTTATTTCTCATTTCAGTTCATTCTCTTGTTTTTTTAACAAGGTTGAATCTTCTGTCTACACAGTTGGGTACCAAATAATGTTTATTTTATTCCATCAATCATCCATTTTTTAATAGGAAGCTTTAGTTTGCCATAAATTGCAGCCAGACTATGAAAAATCAATTTTTTTTCTGAGTTAGCAGTCTCCAACAATGTTTTGGGGTAATAATATATAATGTGATGAAGACAGTTATTAAAATCTAAAAGTAGGTTACCTTTCAGTAGTACTTTGTGAATATTAGCTAGGTAGTATGTTCTAAAGTTCAGAGCACTTTTCTAGTTTTAAATATTGAATGTCATTTGGTGCTATAAGTGGGGTATGGTTTATCTTAAATATGAGGGAAACTGAGGTATAGTAGTGGTTATGGTTATAACTCAGCCAGCCAGAATGGATTGGAGTGTTATGTTTGCTTCCAGCTCTTCTCATCTTGAGTTATTTTATGTCATGCCATGTTTTTAACCTTAACCTGGCATTATTTAAACTTGGAAAGAAAAATAGTGTTTTATGAAAACAGATAAAACATGATGGCTCAAGTCATACTTCACCCTATACCCCAGAAGCCCTTGGTGTGCATAGCTAAGCAGGAGAATTCTATGAGACCATATCTGATCAACAGGGTCCTTTTCTTGTCCACTCCCTTTTCAGCCCCCTAACACCAGCATACAAATCACTAAGTCCTGTCCCTTAAAAGATACTGACACATTTCCAAAGGCCAATAAGATAGAATTAGTTTTTAGCAGAAGGGTCAAGCTCCAGTGTGGGCTAATGTAGTTTGAGTGGAAAAAAGAATATCCAGGCCAGCCACCAACTGCCTAACTCTGCTATTTCCTGCTTCCATGTTCAAAGGAAGCATTTAATGGCCTGGAGATGGGTTGAACTGACCAGGATTCATCTTCAGACTACCACAGATTACCGTGGATTATTCTTGTGCTGATGGTCTGTTTTACTATAATTCTGTTGCTGTTCTGCATACATAGGTCAAGAGCACCATTGGATGCTTACTTTCAAGTGAGCAGGACCCAGCCTCAATTGCCAGCCAATTCTCAAGATTTAGAGAGTAGGAATCCTGCTTCTGAAGATGTGCAGGTAGCAAGTAGTTCTGATTCTGACCGTGAAAACCGTGAAAACTCTATAGAGAATGAAGAAGCTGCTGCCGAGGCAGAGCCTGGAGCTGTTGTTTCAGAAGGTAAGTATTTCAGAAGGTTTGTTTTCACAAGGCTAACATCCAGAAAGCTTAGACTCCAGAAGGCTAGGAACTGTAGATTTTTGTTTTCCCTACAAATGTTACAGGCTTCTGCTTTACAGTACATAGCTTTGCCTAGCCATAATTATATAGAGAGAATTTGATCTGACTTCCAGTTTAATGTAATTTGTGTCCCAGGGAGTCAATCACTTTGTAATGGCAGTGTATATTCCCTTTTGTTTTCTTGAACATCTGTGAAGGAAGTGGACTCTTTTTTAAAAAGAAAAGCTTCGTAAGTTCACCCTATCTAGCCTTCTACTTTTGAAGTCCTATAATGTTATATATTGTACAAGTGGAACTTAATATTTAACAGTAGTGGGCAGAGACCCCTAAAGAGTATGTCCTGCTAACATTGAAAACCCTCTGATACCCTATATTGTGATTGTTACCCACTAAAAGAAACCTAGGCCTTCTTGGAGAAGTGGCTTTCTGATCTGGTATAGAAAATGTGCAAGATGAGCCTAGGGCATTTTATTGTGCCAGAAAGCAAGGAAAACATCTAAGTCTCAGTTATATCAGTAGGCACAAGAGCCACCTTGAAATACTATACAGAGTGGCCTAAGATGGGACAATTTGAATATAAAATGAATAATGAATATGTTTTTGGATTATGGATCCAAATTCACAGGTTTACATCAAATCTATGGAAATCTATAAATTCATAATTATGTACTTTTTAAAAACCTCATTTAGCACCATGTAAGTCATTAGAGCCTTAACTTGTTGCTGTGAGAACTGGTAAGTAAAGGATTAAGCATTTATCCTGCCTTTCTTGTGTGAAATGTATTCAGGAAAACCAAATAGTTGTGGTTCAGGAAAACCACAAGGTGGTTTTCTTTTTTCTTCTTAAGACATCATTTTTAGAGTAGTTTAAGATTGATGACAAAATTGAGAGGAAGATACAGAGATTTCCCATATGCCTCCCTATTATCGGCATCACCAGAATGGTGAATTTGTTAACACACCACAATCACCTAAAGACCATAGTTTATGTTAGGGTTTGGACAAATGTTTAATGACATATGTCCATCATTATAATATCATGCAGAGTATTTTCACTGCCCTAAAAATTCTCTGTGCTCTGTTTATTCATCCTTCCCATCCACCCCCAAGAAAGCTTTTTTAATAGAAAAATTCCAGCTAATAATTGGAGCAGAAATGATAGGGAAAAAAAATAATGATTTTGTGACTCCTAATGAAACGATGTATCTAGGCAAATACCATCAGTGGATCCTAAAACCATTAGGTTAAAAGGTTGTTGGTGGGAATCTGTTAATACAGGAGCAGGTGACACCACGAGACCATACCTTCCTGCTGGTCAGCTGCAGTTGAATATGCCCATACCTGTAGGAAGTACTGCTGCCACCCAGAAAATCCTGAATCTACTTAAGACTGTAGATATAAAAACTAGTTTGCACAATTTATAAGAAGGAAGTAGGGAAACAAGGTAAACAATACTTCAAAGATGCAATCATTAACACCAAAAATGTAGGACAGTCTACCAGTAAACTTCTAGAAAAAGACATAAGTGTATATGAAAATTTAGTAGATTGTAAAGGGACTATGTCTAATGGGGAAAAGGTAGACTTTAAATTAATGTAATTGTTAAAACTGGGTAGCTAACTAGAAAACTGATAAAATTGGATTCATTCTTCATACTATAAGATGTAAGTGGATCAGATACCTACTGTAAAAAATGAAACCATTCTAATATTAGAGGAATATATTAATGGTAAAACTCAGGAGTAAGGAGTACTTTGAAATCTAGAAGAATACAAGAAAATTACCTAAAAACTTAAAAAAAATTATGACCATAAGCCAGCAGAGAGATACTTTATGATTCCACTTAAATAAAATATCTAGGAAAGGCAAATCTGTAGAGACAAAGTAAATAAGGGGTTGTCGAAGGCTGGTTGGTAGAAATGGGAAGTGAGTCTAAATTGGCATGAGGGATCTTTCTTGGATGATGAAAATGTTTTAAAATTGGATTGTGGTAATGTACAACTTTGTGAATTTACTGTAAATAAGAGTTAAACAATAGCATGAGGAAGCAGTCAGCCACACCCAGAATATAGGACATTTCACAGGAAAGATGACCAAATTTCCCTTAATAACAAAACAGGTGAGTTTTTATTTAGAACTTTTTCACTTGGAAAGACATCATTAAGACACTGAAATGGCAACACGCTAACTGAAGAAAACATTCGTATTACATTTATCTGGAAAGACTTAAATTTAGGATATATAAATAACTTGTACAACCCAATAGAAAAATGGGCAAAAGATAGGAAAAAGTACTTCCAAAAGAGGAGAGCCAAATGACCAATAAATATATAAAAGACTTCATGATTAAAATCACAATGTGGTAACCAATGTTCATCTACCACAACAGCTAAAATTTAGAAGACTTGGCAATACCAAGTATTTGGAGAGGTAGCCAGATCTCTTACATTGCTGGTGGGCATGTAGACAGTTGCAAACATTTTGGTAATGTCTTTACAAACTCACTGTATATATCTGACCTATGGTTTAGCAATTCTTCTAGGTATGTAGCCAAAGAAATGACTACATATGTCCATCAAAGACATGTACAAGAAAGTAACAGCATTGTTTGTAATAGAAAAAAACCTGAGAACTACCCCAATCCCCATTATCAGTACAATGGATAAATAATTGTTCTATATTTACACAATAAAACACTACATATCAGTGAAAACTACAACTCCACACATTACTATGGAAGAATCTGACAATGTAGATAGAACATTAGTAGCAGAGACAAAAAAAAAACATAACTCTGAGATACCACTTATATACCAAAAAAAAGCAGGCAAAAGTCAGTCAGTGGTGTTAGAATTTAGTTAAAGTGGTTGCCTTTGGTGGGGATGAGATTATCTCCTCCCCACTCCCCCCAAAATATAAGAACAGAAGGTAAAAGGGGCTTTCTTGGGGTGGTTGGTCATATTTTGGTTTATAGTTCAGTTTGCGAAAATTCACTGACTGAATACTTAAGATACGCTTTTCTGTATGTGTATTATGCTTGAACAAAAGTTTGTTTTTTTTAAAGCCAATTTGAGGGGGCTTCCACCAGCCTAGGATGGGACAATTTGAGTCTCTAAAAATTAAATATTGCTTCCTTGACCATTAATGGAGGATGTGAAAGAAGGATGAGGAACCTGATCATCTAAGGGTTGGACTGACACCACCTAAACCCAGTATGACCCTCCTGGTTAGCTGTAGTCGGAAGCATACAACCCAAGTGTTCTTGCTGCTCTTCCTCTCCCCACCAAGAAGAACCAGAATTGAATCTACTGAAGCCTCTAGATCGAATTGCCAGTGTTAGGAAATGTAGGCAATAGAGCAAACAAGTAGGCCATACCATAAGGAAGCAGTCAGCCAAATCAGGATGTAGGACATTTTGTAAGACAAATGACCAGATCTCCCCCAACAAATCAGTGACAGGAAGGAATACAAAGGAGTGAAGGAGAATTGTTATAGAATGAAAAAAAGACTTAAGAGATGTAACAATAATCTCATTATGGAGACTTTCTTTACATCCTGACTGGAGTGAATCCACTGTGAAGAGTAACTTTAAAATAATTGGGAAATTTTAAGTATGAGCTGGGTGTCTGGGTATTAGATGGCTTTTAAGGAATGTGGTTAACTTTGTTAGCTATAATAGTAATGGTGTTTATGTAAAAAAAAAGTCCTTTTCAGTTAGTGTTACAAAAGTTTTTACGAGTGAAATGACATTTTAAGGTTTGTTATTAACTATTACAAATGAAAATAATGGGAATAGAGGCTTAGATGGAACAAGATTGGCAAAATATTATTTTTCAAATTGGGTAATGGGTACTTGTGGGTTAATTAACTATTCTGTCTACTTTTATGTGTGTTTGAAAGATCCAAAATAAGTTTTAAGAAAATAAATTGACTGGTGCTACTTTGGGGACATCCTTTTATAGCAATGCTACCAAGTAGAAATGGAAGGCTATGGTGAGTCAGGCTCTCTTGCTAGCCTCTCATACCTGACTTGTATCTTCTTTTGAATATTATCTATATCCTATCATATCTGGAAACAACTTGACAGAGCAACAAGGAGGTATCTCAGCAGAGCAGGAAGTTACATGTATCGGTTGTCAAGAGGCCCTCCCTAAACAGGTAATATGAATATCATTTTAAGTGAAAGGTTTGGATTTTCATTTAAAAAGGAGGTTGCAGGCTAAAATGGAAAGCTTTGTAGGCAGGCGGTCCAGGTGTGGATCTTATCCATGTTACTCATTTGTGTGACTGCTTCCTCTTAGCTTGAAAATTAGGGAGGGTAGTGGGAGATGTGAGAGTAATTTGTCCTGCCTACCTAACAAGGTTAAGTGCTAGATATGAATGCAGTTTATTAACTGTCTGGCAGAATATGATTTCTATGTCATAAACGACTTCTATTTTAAAAATAACATGTATCATTGCCGCCCTTAATATGAGTTATTTACATCAACTGTGGACACTGCCAGTCCCAAAACATCATTGGTCTATCTTTCACATGTTTCTATACGGACTCCATGTTTTTATTTCTTCCTTCTAGAAGAATTTTAAGTATGTATCAATTTATATGCATAAATGTTCTATTTTTGTTAATTTACACAAAAGGGGTTGTATCATTTTGAGCCTGGTTCCTTTTTCCTCTGACTTATTACAACTTGGAGAGCTTTCTAAAATTGAATCTCATTCTTAATAATAGATACATAGTGTTTCATCATATAAACTTTTAGTTAATTTGTCACGTACACTATGTTCCCTTTTTCTTTCCTTTTTTTCCCTGAAGTAAATCACACTGCATTGAGCATCTTTGTAAAATTGTCTCAGCAAATATTTGCGACTGTATTCATGGGGTATATTTCTAGGAGATAGACTTCTATGTCAAGAGAGAGAGAGATGTATTTTAGTTTTGATAGGTAATGCCACATTGTCTTCTGGAAAACGTGCTGCTTTCTACTTGCAGCAGCAGTATATAAGCATGCCTCTTTCTTCCTCCCCTTCAATGGTACTTGGTGTCATCAGACATCGATTTATACCATCTAATAGATAAAAAAATGGTTTCTTGCTTGTAAGTGAACACTATTCTTTCTATAAGCTAATATACGCTGCTAATATCCTTTGTTTTCCTGGCTTTTTTTTTTTAATTCATATTAGGCAAGTATTTCATAGCTACTTGAGTTGATTGTAAGCATAATTTTGAATGTATACCAAACCTATTCCCTGTTGGTTATCTGAGTAACTGCTAGGTTTTTGTTTGTTTGTTTTTATCATTTCCATTCTTCATTTTCATTGAAGAGAAAAAAGTCCAAGAATTTAATAAGGTCAAAGGGTAATATTTTCATGGCTTGTATGAAAGATTTTATCAGATTGCACTTTAGAAAGAATGACAAGTGATGCATAGGTATTACAATTTTTCTGCACTGTTTTTCAGAAGGGTGTGTATCATTATTGTGTGGTTTTGTTATTTGGTAAGAGTTGCATATCTTCTTCAAGACTGTTTTTGCATTTTATCTAATTTGAATGTATTGTTTTCCATCTAGCAGTCTCCTCAGAAGACCAGCTCTCTTCTACCTTCTTCCCCCATGGATGACGACGATGGGGATACTTGCACAATATGTATGGAACATTGGACCAATGCTGGGGATCACAGGCTCTCAGCATTACACTGTGGACACCTCTTTGGGTATAGCTGCATTTCTAAGTGGCTCAAAGGACAGACGCGAAAATGTCCACAGGTAAGGACCATTCTTTGCATGTACACAGTCAATGTGTTAAGTCAGGAGGATTCCTAGACCCACACTAATTATGTCCTGTTTGGCTCTTTAGTGCAACAAGAAAGCCAAGCACAGTGACATCGTTGTCCTTTATGCCCGAACCCTGAGAGTTTTGGACACCAGTGAACAGGAGCTCATGAAAGGGTAGGTGGCAAGAGTCTGCCTAGCTGGAATATTTTGGTTCCTTATAGACAGCCTTGAAAAATAAAGTATGAGTCATCACTCTTAGTGTGGTTCTGAGGCTTTACTTGGACTGTGACTGGGGATCCTTGGCAGTCTGTCTCATATTGTGATTTATGAACATGTATAATGTATATATGTAATATATATAATACATAGTCATCTTCTAAGGGAGGTTGCATGGTTTGTTCTCCATGTAGTGTTAAAAATGAGGAACTGGGGTAATGACTAATTGCTACTTCAGCTAGCTCAATTTATGTACACCCCAGGACTTTTTGCTCAAACACTTGAGAAAAAATAGAATAGAACCCCAGGGTTCCCAAGTGCCTTTTCAGCCACAGGATAGGCAGAGCCTCCCTAAAAATGACATAAGGAGAAGAGCGAAGATGGCAGTGTGAGTAGGGCAGTGGAAATCTCCTCCCAAAACCATATATATTTTTGAAAATACAACAAATACAACTATTCCTAAAAGAGAGACCAGAACATACAGTACAACAACCAGGCTACATATCTACCTGTGAGAACCCAGCAGCTCACAAAGGGGTTAAGGTACCAGCCCCACGGCCCAGGGGAACACAAGCGCAACCCCCACTCCAGCTCCCTGACGGTAGGAGAGGAGTCGGAGTGGGGGGAGGGAGTGGGAGTCCAGGACTGCTTAATACCCAGCCCTACTCTTCCGCACCAGAAGCACAGACACACAGTGCATGGTGTGCTGGATACTAGGGAAACGAAACAGTAAAACCTGCGAGTGGGTTCCCACAGCCGGCGCCCCTGAGACAAAAGAAAAGCAGGTGCTTTTTGAAAGTCTTAAAGGGACAGGAGCCTCACAGCTGGACGGAAGCATCCCGGCACACTCAACCCAGCAGCTGGGAATCCCAGGGAATTCCAGGCGCCCTAACCCCCTGAGTGGCAGCGCAACTCCGAGGACCCTCACAGCAACAAACAGCCTCCTGCCCATTCCCCCTCCGGCATGGCCCTGCCATAGCGGAGTAGCAGCCTGAGACAGGCCATGCCCACAGCAGTTGGGCAGAGCCTCCTCCTCAGCCGCCCAGGCCAGACTCAGAGGACCTGATGGGGTGCAGCGGGCCAGCACAAGCCGCTAGGGGTCACCATTCTCACAGGAAGGGAAGGCGACAGGCAAGGAGGAAGGGAATTTGTTCTCCCAGCTGACACAGGCATCAGCTGCCTACGACTACCTCTATCGCCATGAAAAGGCTGAAGAATTTGATACAGACAACAATAAACTAGACATCCCCTGAGAGGGAACCTGGGGAGATAGACTTAACGAATCTTCCTAAAAAAGAATTCAAAATAAAGGTCATAACCATGCTGATGGAGCTGCAGAGAAAAATGCAAGAGCTAACAGGTAAAGTTGGGAGGGAGAATACAGAAATAAAACAGTCTCTGGAAGAATTTAAAAGCAGAATGGACAAGGTGCAAGAGGCTGTTAATGGAATAAAAATCAGAAGAGGAATGCATAGAAGCTGGCGCAGAGAGAGACAAAAGGATCTCCAGGAATGAAACAATATTAAGAGAATTGTGTTACCAATCCAAACGGAACAATATCCACATTATAAGGGTACCAGAAGAAGAAGGGATAGAAAGTGTATTTGAGGAAATAATTGTTGAAAACTTCCCCAAACTGGGGGAGGAAATAGTCGCTCAGACCACAAAAGTACACAGAACTCCGAACAGAAGGGACCCAGGGAGGACAACACCAAGACACATAATAATTAAAATGGCAAAGACAAGGACAAGGACAGAGTATTAAAGGCAGCCAGAGAGAGAAAAAAGGTCACCTACAAAGGAAAACCCATCAGGCTGTCATCAGACTCCTCAACAGAAACCTTACAGGCCAGAAGAGAATGGCATGATATACTTAATGCAGTGAAACAGAAGGGCCTTAAACCAAGAATACTGTACCCAGCATGATTATCATTTAAATATGAAGGAGGGATTAAGCAATTCCCGGGCAATCAAAATCACATCTGATGATTTTGTGTCCAACACAGATTTATAGTTATTCCTTAATGCTGCTGTCTTCTAAATGAGAGAGGAGAGAAAGTTATAAATAAACATTTGTGCCTCCCACAAACGACGTCTACAGGGTATTCTAGAGGGACTGCTCTACATGGAAACACTCCTACGGCTAAATAGATGTCACCAGTGAAAACAAAATCATACCAAAGAAAGCAAACCAACCAAATACTAACTAAAGGCAAAAAATAAAATCAACTACCCACAAAAGCAGTCAAAGGAAACACAAAAGAGCACAAAATAAAACACCCAACATATAAAGAGTGGAAGAGGAGGAATAAGAACGGAGAGAAATAAAGAATCATCAGACTGTGTTTATAATAGCTCAATAAGCGAGTTAAGTTAGACAGTCAGATACTAAAGAAGCCAACCGTGAGCCTTCGGTAACCACAAATCTAATGCATGCAATGGCAATAAATACATATCTTTCGATACTCACCCTAAATGTAAATGGACTGAATGCACCAATCAAAAGACAGAGTAATAGAATGGATAAAAAAGCAAGACCCATCTATATGCTGCGTACAAGAGACTCACCTCAAACCCAAAGACATGCACAGACTAAAAGTCAAGGGATGGAAAAAGATAATTCATGCAAACAACAGGGAGAAAAAAGCAGGTGTTGCAGTACTAGTATCAGACAAAATAGACTTTAAAACAAAGAAACTAACAAGAGATAATGAAGGACATTACATAATGATAAAGGGGTTAGTCCAACAAGAGGATATAATTATTGTAAGTATGTATGCACCCAACACAGGAGCACCAACATATGTGAAACAAATACAAACAGGATTAGAGGAGGAAATAGAATGGAATGCATTCATTTTAGGAGACTTCAACACAGTACAGATGGACCTAATAGACATCTATAGAACTCTACACCCAAAAGCAGCCGGATACACATTCTTCTCAAGTCCACATGGAACATTATCCAGAATACACCACATACTAGGCCACAAAAAGAGCCTCAGTAAATTCAAAAATACTGAAATTCTACCAACCAGCTTTTCAGACCACAAAGGTATAAAACTAGAAATAAAATGTAGAAAGTAAAAAGACCCACAAACACACAGAGGCTTAACAACATGCTCCTAAATAATCAATGGATCAATGACCAAATCAAAATAGACATCAAGCAATATATGGAAATAAATGACAACAAAAACACAAAGCCCCAGCTTCTGTGGGCACAGAGATAGCAGTCTTAAGAGGAAAGTACATAGCAATCCAGGCATATTAAAAGAAGGAAGAACAATCACAAATGAATAGTCTAAAGGAGGACATAATAAAGATCAGAGAATAAATAAATAAAATTGAGAAGAATAAAATAGAAAAAACTCAACAAAACCAAGAGCTGGTTCTTTGAGTAAATAAAATAGATAAGCCTCTAGCCAGACTTATTAAGAGAAAAAGAGAATCAACACACATCAACAAAATCAGAAATAAGAAAGGAAAAATCACAAAGGACCCCACAGAAATATGAAGAATTATTAGAGAATACTATGAAAATCTATATGCTAACAAGCTGGAAAACATAGAAGAAATGGACAACTTCCTAGAAAAATACAACCTTCCAAGACTGACCAAGGAAGAAATCTAAACAGACCAATTACCAGCTACAAATTGAAGCAGTAATCAAAAAACTACCCAAGAGCAAAACCCCGGGCCAAATGGATTTACAGCGGAATTTTATCAGACATACAAAGAAGACATAATACCCATTCTCCTTAAAAAAAGAAGAAGAGAGAGTACTCCCAAACTCATTCTATGAAGCTCGCATCACCCTAATACCAAAACCAGCATTGACCTCACCAAAAAAGAAAAAGAAAATTACAAACCAATATCCCTGATGAACATAGATGCAAAATTACTCAACAAAATATTAGCAAACCGAATTCAAAAATACATCAAAAGGATCATACACCATGACCAAGTGGGATTCATCTCAGGGATGCAAGGATGGTACAACATTCAAAAATCCATCATCATCACCACATAAACAAAAAGAAAGACAAAAACCACATGATCATCTCCATAGATGCTGAAAAAGCATTCGACAAAATTCAACATCCATTCATGATAAAAACTCTCAACAAAATGGGTATAGAGGGCAAGTACCTCAACATAATAAAGGCCATATATGATAAACCCACAGCCAACATCATACTGAACAGCGAGAAGCTGAAAGCCTTTCCTCTAAGATCGGGAACAAGACACGGATGCCCACTCTCCCCGCTTCTATACAACATAGTACTGGAGGTCCTAGCTATGGCAGTCACACAACACAAAGAAATAAAAGGCATCCAGGCTGGCAAAGAAGGAGTTAAACTGTCCCTGTTTGCAGATGACATGATATTGTACATAAAAAACCCTAAAGAATCCACTCCAAAACTACTAGATCAAATATCTGAATTCAGCAAAGTTGCAGGATACAAAATTAACACACAGAAATCTGTAGCTTTCCTATACACTAACAATGAACTAATAGAAAGAGAAATCAGGAAAACAATTCCATTCACAACTGCATCAAAAAAATAAAATGCCTAGGAATAAACGTAACCAAGGAAGTGAAAGACGTATACCGTGAAAACTACAAGACACTCTTAAGAGAAATTAAAGAGGATACTAACAAATGGAAACTCATCCCATGCTCTTGGCTAGGAAGAATTGATATTGTCAAAATGGCCATCCTGCCCAAAGCAATCTACAGATTCAATGCAATCCCTATCAAATTACCAACAGCATTCTTCATCAACCTGGAACAAATAGTTAAAAAATTCATATGGACACACCAAAGACCCCAGATAGCCAAAGTAATCCTGAGAAGGAAGAATAAAGTGGGGGGAATCTTGCTCCCCAACTTCAAGCTCTACTACAAAGCCACAGAAATCAAGACAGTTAAAGACAGTTGGTACTGGCAGAAG